GGGAGCTCTGGCGTGGGCTGGTCCATGAGGTCACGAAGAGTCAGAGACGACTGAACGAATGAACAACAACAACAAAAATATAATAATAATAATAATAATAATAATAATAATAATAATAATAGTCTTCAGCCGAAGTAGTAGTTTCCTGTCCTCAAGGAGACTTCCCTTTTTAATATTTAACCATGGCTCTCATGCTCCCTTCTCTTCGCCTTATTTGCTCCAAGCTAAATACAGTAATCCTTCATTTACTGCAGGGGTTCCATTCCAGGACTACCCGCAATAAGTGAAAATCCATAAAGTATGAATGCCATATTAATTTTAATATTTAAACATTTTATATATTTTATATATTATTTTCTTACCTGCACTTCCTTAGCCCCTTAGTCGCCACACTTCCGGTGTCCCTGGCCTCCACTGGACATAAATATTTTATATTTTTAGTAATATTTCCAAAAACCCACAAAACAGCGAGTCCATTAAAAGCGATCCGCAAAGTAGCAAGGGAATACTGTATATCCCCCAACTCCCTCAGCCACTCCTCATAGGGCCTAGCTTCCAAGGCATTGACCATTTTGATCACCCTTCTCTTTTGATCATACTTCTCTGACGTTTGGTGGGGACAAGAGATGGAGCCTTCTCCGTGGTGGCCTCCCAGCTGTGGAACTCCCTCCCTAAGGAGGTTAGATCTGCCCCCTCCCTCCTGACATTTCGCAAGAAGCTTAAATCCTGGCCGTGGGAGCAAGCGTCCGTAGAATAGACGGAATTAATTGGTGATGTTGAGATTTTGTGGACCGTAATTTGAACTTATTTGGATGATGTTTTAAACCTGGCGAACTGTTGTTAATGTATATTTATAATCATTTTATGTAACTGAGGTCACGAAGAGTCGGAGACGACTGAACGAATGAACAACAACGTGTATATTATTGGGTTGTTGTAGGTTTTTTGGGCTATATGGCCATATTCTAGAAGCATTCTCTCCTGGTGTTTCACCTGCATCTATGGCAAGCATTCTCAGAGGTTGTGAGGTCAGGATTTAAGTATTGCTGCTAAGCTAGATGTCCTCCATCAAATCGATACTTATTAGACGTAGAATTTTGCATTGGCCTATGTCTTTTTTCTATTTGTTCTCCCTCCACTTATATGCATTTTGTAATATTCTTTTGGACACTTGACTGCCGAGTGTGCTGTGGATATCTCCAGTGAGGCTTAGTTGACAAAACATGGGATAGATACTGGACTGTAGGAAGGAGACACAGAAACAATATTTTTCTGTATTGTCGAAGGCTTCATGTGGACACAAGCATGTGGACAATTTCAACAGAAAGGAGGAGACCATGAAAATGAACAAAATCTGGGTACCAGTATTAAAAAACTCTAAAATTAAAACAGCAAAACAGCAGAGAGGAAACAACCAGGCACCTCTCAACAAAAGATTGCTCCAGGCACTGCCAGGCTATCAAATGCTAATCAAGGTGGTCAGTTGAAACATTCACACCACGCTCCAGCAGACAAGAGTCCTTTGTCCCACCCTGGTCATTCCACAGATATATAAACCCATTGTCCTAGTTCCAACAGACTTCACTACCTCTGAGGACGCTTGCCATAGATGCAGGTGAAACATCAGGAGAGAATGCCTCTAGAACATGGCCATATAGCCCAAAAAAACCTGCAACAACCCAATATTTTTCTGATTTGAGAGAAAGCCACTCAAGGCAGTGGAGTCTTCTTTCCCCCAAGACTTATCATATGGGGTGCTATGTCCATATAGAGGCAAGAAGGAAATAGAGAAAGAAGATATTTATGACAAAATTTGCTCCATACTGCATTGACCCTATTTCAAGATCTCCTCCTTTACAAAGCTTGAATTGCACTGTTAACACATCACAGTATGAAAAGCTCACAATAAAGATCTTGGACCGCTATTCCCATTGTATCTCACTAGGGATCGTTTTTGATTGGGTTTTATTTATTTATTTCATATCAAAAGAATTGCATAAATTAGTATAAAACTAATAAAAATAGATGGAGCACAAGTGGCTAAATAATTTTGACCAAAAACGGGCAACAGCGACTGCATTGTCTGTAGCTTCAAACAGTTCTTCCTCTGTGCATGAGGCAGGGCATTGTGGACAAGCATACAGATGTGGAGTTGTCTATTCTGCTCCACAGTCACACAAGGTGTGGGATTCTTTTAGGTAGTGTCATTTTGCCAGGTTGTCTTTTGATCTGCTCACTCCACTTCTGAGTCTGTTCAGGGACTTCCAAGTTGCCCATTCTTGGTTTGCCCCTGGAGGAAGACCCTCCCTCGTGTAGGGGGGTGGGGCATCCCATTGGGATTTCAGGTTTACCTGCCCAGAGGGATACCCTTGCTGTTGCTGGGGGGATGCCAAGAGGAGTGGTCATTCCCATAATGCTTTCCACTAATTTGAGTCGAATGCTTTCCCCTAATTTGGAGCCTTAGTCACACCCAGATTGGACTACTGTAATGCGCTCTATGTGGGGCTGCCCTTGAAGACAGCTCGGAAATTTCAGTTGGTCCAACGGGCGGTGGCCAGGTTGTTAACTGGCGCCCCTTACAGGGAGCGGTCTACCCTCCTGTTTAAGGAGCTCCGTTGGCTGCCGTTCATTTTCCGGTCTCAATTCAAGGTGCAGGTTCTTACCTACAAAGCCCTGAACGGTTTGGGACCTGCGTACCTGCGTGACCACATTTTTGTGTACGAACCCACACGATCTCTTTGATCATCTGGAGAGGCCCTACTCGTGCTCCCACCTGCATCGCAAGTACGATTGGTGGGGACGAGAGAGAGGGCCTTCTCGGCGGTGGCCCCTCGACTCTGGAACTCACTTCCAAAGGACATCAGGCATGCCCCAACTCTGGCAGTCTTTAGGAGGAGCTTGAAAACATGGTTGTTCCAGTGTGCCTTCCCAGAATAATGAACCCTTAGCACTATGTCCTCTAAAGCACCTTATACTGATTTAGGATTGTTTGTATGTTCCCACCAACGCCCCACCTCCCTATCTTGTTCATGCCCAGCATTATTTTAAATTTTAATTACACTCGGCCCAGCCATAGATTTTAAATGTATGTTATTCTATTGTCAATGTTTATGCTATTTGGGTTGAGATTTATTTTAATTGCTTTGCTTTGTATTGTGATTGTTATTGCTTGTATTGATGTATTGTGGGTTCGGCCTCATGTAAGCCGCACTGAGTCCCTTGGGGAGATGGTAGCGGAATATAAATAAAGTATTATTATTATTATTATTATTATTATTATTTCTTTCACATTTAGCAGAAACTTCCCATCGCACATTGTGGAGTGTGTGTGTGTGTGCGCGCGCAATGCCAGCAAGCTTGTAGAGTTTATCAACAGGTGTAGGTTTAAGACATCCTGTGATTATTCTGCAAGTTTCATTCAGTGCTGTGTTCACCTGCTTTGCATGGGCAGATCTATGCCAAACAGGGCAGGCATACTCGGCAGTTGAGTAAGACGAGGTTAAAAGATTGGGCAAAAAGATGTCTTGCAATAACAACAACAACAACAACAACAACAACACTTTATTTGTACCCTGCTACCATCTTCCTAGGGGACTCAGTGCGGCTTACATGAGGCCGAGCTCGAATACAACAGTACACGCAATAATAACAACAACAACAGTACAAGCAATTAAAACTAAAACATATTTTATTTCCCATGTCAGGGCAGCCAGTCAATTATATTACATTTCTAACAGAACAAAGCAAACAAACAGAGAAAATACAAAATTTGTGAGTTTGGTAGTTGATTAAATGTCCTTTGACCAGTATCTGGCCACTTGGAGTGCTTCTGGTGTTGCCGCAAGGAGGTCCACCCTTGTACATGTGGCAGGGCTCAGGTTGCATTGCAGCAGGTGGTCAGAGGTTTGCTCTTCTCCACACTCGCATGTCGAGGATTCTACTTTGTAGCCCCATTTCTGAAGGTTGGCTCTGCATCTCGTGGTGCCAGAGCGCAGTCTGTTCAGTGCCTTCCAAGTCGCCCAGCGTCTTCTGTGTGCCCAGGAGGGAGTCTCCCATTTGGTCTCAGCCATTGGTTGAGGTGCTGGGTTTGAGCCTGCCACCTTTCGACTCTTGCTTGCTGAGGTGTTCCAGTGAGTGTCTCTGTAGATCTTAGAAAACTATTTCTAGATTTAAGTCGTTGACGTGCTGGCTGATACCCAAACAGGATGAGCTGGAGATGTCTCTGCCTTGGTCCTTTCACTATTGGCTGCTACTTCCCGGCGGATGTCAGGTGGTGCAATACCGGCTAAGCAGTGTAATTTCTCCAGTGGTGTAGGGCGCAGACACCCTGTGATAATGCAGCATGTCTCATTAAGAGCCACATCCATTGTTTTAGCGTGGTGAGATGTGTTCCATACTGGGCATGCGTAGTCAGCAGCAGAGTAGCATAGCACAAGGGCAGATGTCTTCACTGTATCTGGTTGTGATCCCCAGGTTGTGCCAGTCAGCTTTCGTATGATATTGTTTCTAGCACCCACTTTTTGCTGCAGCACTGGTCTATTGGTCTTAAGGTCTAATGATATCTTTTGCTCAAGTTCTAATGTGCTTTTCCTTTTTTCCCCAAACAGGTTCACAGCAATCATAGGAAGGAAATAAAATAGGAAAAAAATCAGTATTGAAAACTGTCCACTTGTGAATTTCAGGAAGAAAATCAACATGGTGCTTTAAAAAGAATCATTTGGAAAAGAGACCGGAGAAGCTACAGAAAAATCAAAGAAATTTTGTTGTCTTCAAGGAGTTCATATTTGTAAACTTCCGACATAATATTTGAATCATAAATCGAAAAGAATGAAGTATCATTTATACCCTTATCCCCGGCCACACACAAGGGAGAAGTTGTATAAATGTGTGGAATGTGGGAAAGGCTTTAGTTGGAGAAGTTCCCTTACTATACATCTCAGGACTCACACGGGGGATAAGCCACATCGATGCACGGAATGTGGAATGAGCTTCATTCGCAGTGGACAGCTGCATTCTCATAAAAGGATCCACACAGGGGAGAAGCCATACGAATGCGTGGAATGTGGAAAGAACTTCTCTCACAACGGAGCTCTACATTCCCATCAGAGGGTGCACACAGGGGAAAAGCCTTACGAATGCATCGAATGTGGAAAGTTCTTTAGATGGAGTTCAGCGTTTACTAAACATCAAAGAATCCACACAGGGGAGAAGCCGTATAAATGCTCAGAATGTGGAATGAACTTCAGTGATGGTGGATCGTTAACTAAGCATCGAAGAATTCACACAGGGGAGATGCCATATAAATGCATGGAATGTGGAATGAGTTTCAGTGATAATAGTACATGTAATAAACACCAGAGAGTTCACACAGGGGAGAAGCCATATAAATGCATTGTATGTGGAAAGGCCTGCTCTCAGATTGGACAGCTGCATTCCCATCAAAGGATCCACACAGGGGAGAAGCCATATAAATGTATGGAATGTGGAAAGGACTTCTCTCAGAGTGGACAGCTGCGTTCCCATCAAAGGACCCACACAGGAGAGAAGCCCTATAAATGTGTGGAATGTGGAAAGAGCTTTCGTCAAAGTAGCAATCTGCGTTCCCATCAAATGACCCACACAGAGGAGATGCCATATAAATGCACGGAATGTGGAATGAGCTTCCGTGATGATAGAGCATTAGCTAAACATCAGAGGATCCACACACGGGGGAAGCCAAGTGTATGCATGGAATGTGGAAAGAGCTTCAAATATAGTTCAGCATTTGTTAAACATCAAAGAATCCACACAGGGGAGAAGCCATATAAATGCCTGGAATGTGGGAAGAGCTTTAGCGATAGTAGTTCATTAACTAAACATCAAAGAGTTCATACAGGGGAGAAGCCTTACAAATGCAGGGAATGTGGGAAGAGCTTCAGTGATAGTGGAACATGCACGCGGCATCAAAGAACCCACACAGGGGAGAAGCCATTTAAATGCATTGAATGTGGGAAAAGCTTCAGCCGGAGTGCAGATCGCCGTTCCCATCAAAGGGCCCACACAGGGGAGATGCCATATAAATGCATGGAATGTGGAATGAGTTTCAGTTGTAGTCGATCATTAACTAAACATCAAAGAATTCACACAGGGGAGATGCCATATCAATGCGTAGAATGTGGGATGAGTTTCAGTGATGACAGATCATTAACTAAACACCAAAACATTCACACAGGGGAGAAGCCTTATAAATGTATGGAATGTGGGAAGAGCTTTGGTAATGCTTCAACGTGTGCTAGACATATAAGAATACACACAGGGGAAAAGCCATATAAATGTATGGAATGTGGAAAAAGCTTCAATCAGAGTGGACATCTGCGTTACCACGAAAGGACCCACACAGGAGAGAGGCCACATAAATGCAGGGAATGTGGAAAGAGCTTCAGCCAAAGAGAAGGTCTGCATGTCCATCAAAAAACTCATATGGGAGGAGAAACTATAGAAATGTATGGACTGTGGGAAGAGTTTCAGTGGTAGTTGAGTATGCACTACATGTCGAACAATCCATAAAAAGAAATGTTTCGATTTATTGTCGAAGGCTTTCATGGCCGGAATCACTGGGTTGTTGTAGGTTTTTTCAGGCTATATGGCCATGTTCTAGAGGCATTTTCTCCTGACGTTCCGCCTGCATCTATGGCAAGCATCCACAGTCCATACATTCCTTTCACAGGACTTGCATTGCTTGTGTGTTTTTGCATGTCAGGGGCCTGGATTTTGCTCATCCATGTGTTCTCTCCCAACTCTATGATTCTGTGACCCACACAGAGGAGAAGCCACAGAAATATGGAATGGGGAAAGAACTTCAAGGATGGCCAAGAAGGCATCCTTGAACTCGCACTGTTATTGAAGGAGTGCTTCCTTTGGATTTCCAAATTGTCTCAAAGTGAAAATGTTCATTTTCCCAGCCAAGTGTCCTATCATTTTCAAAGGAGGGTAGATGGTGATCTGTTGGGGGTGCTTTGATTGTGCTTTTCCCCCCACTGGAGGTTGTAAGGGATGGCCCATGTGGTCTCTTCCAACTCTACGATTCCATGTTGCTTCCACTCCCCCCCCCCCCAATCTATCTGTAGTAACACGTTCATTAGGATATGATTCATCACTCCCTAGCCTTCTCTAGAAAGTAAGACAAATATTTGTGGATAATATAATGGTGTGAGAAGCTCCCAATGCTCTTCCACTAGTGGAGAGGACCTGCTTGGACTTCCTGGGAAAGGACAGGATGGGGTGTGTGCCTTGAATAGCTCTGGAATTAGAGGCACGGAGGTAGCATTTACAGCAGGAAACTTTGGTATCTAGTTCTATCTATATAAATAAAAATGTAATGTTCGTTTGTGGGATTAACATAACTCAAAAACCACTGGATGAATTGACACCAAATTTGGACATAATACACCTATCTGGCCAACGAGTGACCGTCACTCATAAAAACACTGAAAAACACAGCGTAAGGGACTTAAAAAGCCAAAAAATCAAAAAGACATTACAGCGCATGTGTACCGCTGTGAGTCGCCCCCGGGCTGAGAACAGCGGTATATAAGCAAAGTAAATAAATAAATAAATAAAACGACTCCCCCTGGCAAACATAACACACAATAGCGTGTCCACACTCTCTTCCGGACTACATCTCCCAGCATCCCCTAGACCAGGCCCTTTAGGAGAGGAGGATGATCCAAATGCACTGCTTCCAAGATGCAAGCTTTCTTATTGGATTTCTTTGAGAATATCCCAATCCCTCCACATTTCCAATTTCCTATTCCTGGACTGCAACTCCCAGCAATCCTCCAGATAGATAAATAGAGATAGGTAGGTAGGTAGATAGATCAGGAGGACTGCTGGGAGTTGCAGCCCAAGAATAGTAGGGAAGGAAGAACAGGGAGAAGGAGGAAGGGAAATAAAAGGTGGGGGGGAGGAAGAGAAGGAAGGAAGGAGAGAAGGAAAGAAAAAAAGAGAAGGAAGGAAAGAAAAAGGAGAGAAAGAGGGAAGGTTGGCTACAGCAACGTGTGGTGAGTATAGCTAGATTTTTTTTAAAAAAAGAACATTGTCTGTATTATTCGTCTCAACCATATTGGAAATATTATTTATTTATTATTCAAACGTATATGCCGCCACTCCCCTGGGGCTCGGAGCGGCTTACAAGAACAGGCTAAAATCTAACACAATTTAAAAACAGCAATATCAAAAATCAAAGGCCTGTCAAAACAGATATGTCTTACATGCCCTGCGGAAAGCTGATAAGTCCTGCAAGGCACGGACTTTGGGTGGCAGAGTATTCCAGAGTGATGGTGCCACTGCTGTAAAGGCTCTGCGTCTGGTTGCTGTTAGACGCAAGGTCTTGACACTGGGAATTTCCAACAAATCTTGGTCCTCAGAACGGAGGGATCTCTGGGGTTGGTAGGGGGTGAGGCGGTCCCTCAGGTACATCGGCCCCAGACCATGCAAGGCCTTCAAGGTGAGTACCATCCCTTTGAAAGTGATCCGGTGCTCAATCGGTAACCAATGCAGCTGCAGTAAGATTGGGGTTATGTGGCATCTCATCGGAATTCCCGCAAGAAGCCGAGCAGCTGCATTTTGTACCACTTGAGCTTCCGGATCACCGACAGAGGAAGGCCAATGTAGAGGGTGTTACAGTAGTCCAGTCTTGAGATGACCGTGGCCTGGATCACCGTAGCTAGGTCGTCCCTGGACAGGGAGGGGGCCAGCCGTCTAGCCTGCTGCAGGTGAAAGAAGGCGGTTCTGCTCACGGCGGAGACCTGGGCCTCCATCATCAGCAGAGGTTCCAAAAGGACTCCCAGACTCTTGACCAATGATGACGGGCGTAGCATCTTGCCATCCAGGGAAGGCAGCTGGATATATATCTTTGAACATGGGTAAAACACTATACAATAACACTCACTGCCTGGAAGTGTGGAGGCTCCCCCTTTGGAAGCTTTTAAACAGAGGGTAATCCATTGAGGGTGCTTTGATTGCACTTTTCCTACATGGCAGATATGAGTTGGATGGCCCATGTGGTCTCTTCCAACCCATAGCCTTCCCTGCTGACTTCCCATTCCTTGGGGAGGAGATATACCTGCTCTAGACCTGTGTGATGTATGTCAATCAAGATTACAACTATGAGACCTTCTAGCTAACTTGTATCTAGATACATTTGAAGGGAGATTTCTTCCTGCTTCAAACTTACTTGAAGCCCCCAGACTGTAATTGTGAGCCTTTTTTTTTGTTTTGTAAGACTTGAGTTCTTTCTGAAGTGGCTTCGACTTCTTTCTCCGAGTTCATTTCTGCCTTTTTTGCAGATTTGAGCATATTTATAGCATCCTCATGTATTGTAATAGCATGTATTGTAATAGTGCTATGTGTTTTGGTTTTACTCGTTTGTTTTGTAATCCCAATAAAAATGGTGTTTTGCCCATTTTATCTGGCAATCTTTTGCTAGGTCTGTTTCCAATTCTATTCTAAACTATATTTTATATATGTTAATACCTACTAGGTGTTCCTCACTGGTGCAATTTTTTTCAAACTCTGATATTTCTTTTTCAAAATTGCTGTTTTTGTTATCTGTTAGGAATCGTTCTTTTTAACTGTCTGTGTCTAAAACATTGTAGTTGGTATCCAGCAAGCCTGAGCTCATTTTGTGCTTTGGTTTTCTAACCTTCTCCCTATATATGCTGGCTGTGCTGCTACTAGAGGTTTACAACAGGTTTTTTCTAAGTAACAGGGAGGATCAGAACCTTTTCTGTTACAGCTGCCACAAGTTAATTTGGTGTGTTATCTGATTCATCATATAACAAGGCACTAGGTTTGCAAGCTTTGAGCTTTGCATTTGGCTTAGCTTGATGGCTCGTTTGAGCTGAAGGAACCTTGGCTGTTGCTGGGAGTGGTTATGCAGTGTCCTGAAGCTGAATCCATTTGGAGTGCCAAGGAAACTGCTTTTTTATGGCAAGATAAGGACATTCTACTAAGTGGAGAGACTATTGTTTTGCTTCTGGTGTTGCTGCAAGAAGGTCCTCCATTGTGCATGTAGCAGGGCTCAGGTTGCATTGCAGCAGGTGGTCTGTAGTTTGCTCTTCTCCACACTCGCATGTCGTGGATTCCACTTTGTAGCTCTGAAGGTTGGCTCTGCATCTTGTGGTACCAGCCTGTTCAGCGCCTTCCAAGTCGCCCAGTTTTCTGTGTGCCCAGGCGGAAGTCTCTCATTTGGTATCAGCCATTGATTGAGGCACTGGGTTTGAGCCTGCCACTTTTGGACTTTCGCTTGCTGGGGTGTTCCAGCGAGTGTCTCTGTACATCTTAGAAATCTATTTCTAGATTTAAGTCGTTGACGTGCTGGCTGATACCCAAACAGGGGATGAGCTGGAGATGTCATTGCCTTGGTCCTTTCACTATTGACTGCTACTTCCCAGCAGATGTCAGGTGGTGCAATACCGGCTAAACAGTGTAATTTCTTCAGTGGTGTAGGGCACAGACACCCTGTGATAATGCGGCATGTCTCCTTAAGAGTCACATCCACTGTTTTAGTGTGGTGAGATGTGTTCCACACTGGGCATGCACACTCAGCAGTGGAGTAGCATAGCGCAAGGGCAGATGTCTTCACTGCGTCTGGTTGAGATCCCCAGGTTGTGCCAGTCAGCTTTCATATGATATTGTTTCTAGCACCCACTTTTTGCTTGATGTTCAGGCAGTGCTTCTTGTAGGTCAGAGCACGGTCCAGAATGACTCCCAGGGATTTGGGTGCGCTGCAATGCTCCAGTGGGATTGCACTAGAAGCACTCCAACTGGCCAGATACTGGTTAAAGAGAGATGGGGATATATCCCCTGGAGATGGGGATATTTACAACCCATGAACAAGCTGTAGGCCGAGTATCCTCTTACACCCACCTCTGAGCCTTTGCCCACCTGAGAGTTATAGTTTCCTGATGGTGCTGCCCCTTGGTTTGACCCTGGCCTTAGAGAAGACTCTCTGCTGGCCATTTAACACTGACTGAATATGCCCAGAACTGGGCAGTGGCAGGTGACACAGAATGGAGGCTGGATGACAAAATGTCATGAAAAATGTTAAACAAAGGTTCTTTTTATTGCAAGTTTCAGTGTGAGAGGGTATATCAGAACTGTTCCAGAACAACATTTAGACATACGGACATACAGATTCTATGTAACTACATTGGATTCACAAACAAGTTACAGTTACATTGGCTAACAAACAAATGGGAATTACATTTTTACTCAGCATTCAATTACACATATACAAACATGCATACATCACCATTTCTCCATTCTTCCTCTGTCAAGGACATCTCTTAGGTCAGACTGCTTACTTGCAAATCTGTCAAGGCATAGTTCCATAGCTGGTAAAATCACCAGCAATATTAACATCTACCAACTAAAAGTTTTAAGCCCTAGGTCGTCGTGAGCTGTCGACTATCAAGCCCAGCTTACTATTGACCTAAGCAGTTCAAAAACAGCTTGTTCTGTAATTAGAGAAATTAGGTAATGCTAAAACAAGCAGGGGAGGTATTTTACAACAATATAAAAAGAAAAAATACCAGAAAATGCCAGCGACCAAAAAGGAAGGAGGAAGCCCTGACAACTCCTCATCATAGTGGGTGGAGTGACAGCACCCCCCATGGCTGGATTTCGAGCACAACCTTCCAAAGGTGCTAACGTCAACACAACACACCTCCTTTCTTTCTGTTCTGTCCTTATGTTTGCTGTGTATGTGTACTGTGATCTGCCCTGAGTCTCCTTGGGGGGATAGGGTGGAATATAAATAAAGTATTACTATTATTATTATACGCCAAAATGCATCCTTTCCCTAAGCACAATGCCAAGGATCAGATCTCTATTCACTTCAGCAGAAACGGATTCCCTTCCAAATACATACATAACTCCAAAATACACCAACTCTCTTCCCTCCTAAGGAGCAGAGCAGTAGGTGGACCAGACTCCTCCAGTCTGCCACACTTGAGAATTATTAGATTGAGTCTATTATAGGAATATTCTGCTGTCCAGTTAAAATTATCTTGAGTCTTCACCTCCTGACATAGATATTGATTCTTCTTAATTGGTATTGGCAAACATAAGGCTTGTACTGACTTCCTTCTTAACCTAAGGAATCTTGTAAACATTTCCTTAAAAGAGCCATTGTCTCTGATTAATGTAAAAAGGATATTTCCCCCCAGAAGCTTATCAAGTCAGAAAATGTTAACTTTTGATTACAGTTTAATCATTGCAGGCCTTAATCTTTTAGAATGGTGTCTTCAGCTAAATTCGGCCCCTTCATACATCTCTCATACAATTCATTCAAACCATATATCATATTTCATTATGACAAAAATGCACATTGGTTTGTTTGCCACCATCAGCCTCCTGAGGTCCATAGCTGCAGCTCTGAGTCTTTTAAACAGAGACTGGATGGCCATCTGTAGGGAGTGCTTTGAATGCGATTTCCCTGCTTCTTGGCAGGGGGTTGGACTGGATGACCCACGAGGTCTCTTCCAACTCTATGATTTTATGATTCTGAGTCTTTTCTCTATTTCCCCTCAGCCATGATAACTATGATAAATGCTACTTCTATGTAGCTCAGAGTCAGGGGCGGCTCAACCCATTACGCAAAGTAAGCATTTGCAGTATAGTTGATTTTGCCCAGGGGCGCTCTTTGGGGGAAAATAGACCTTGACATATGCGAGTTGTAGTTACTGGGATGTATAGTTCAACTACAATCAAAGAGCATTCTGAACTCTACCAATAATTGAATTGAACCAAATATGGCACACACAACTCCCACGACGAACAGAAAATATATATCAGTGATTGGTTGGGTGTGTGTGTGTGTGTGTGTACTGTTTGCTTACGTTGAAAATGACCTAGGGCTGCCTCTGCTCAGAGTAAATCAAACCCCAAAAATTACATGCTCGGCCTCAATGGCTACTGTCCCCAAAGAGGAGAAAGGCAGAGGTAGGGACTGGACCAAAGACTGACAAAGTCTTGCCAATTTACTACTAATTAGTAGTAAAAAAAGGTGGGATTAAAACTATAGCACTTGGATGCTCATCTAACATCCACCTTGGTTCCGTGGTCTTTGGAATCCTGGGATTTGTGGTCAGAATCCTCCACCAGAAAGCAGTTCCAGTGCCTCCCTAAACTACAAATTCCAGGATTCCTCAATGGATGGGGACCCTGAGGACAGTTTGAGTGCTATAAATGAGCCAAAGGGAACTATAAAGCAGAGGCAGGAGTGGTCCAGCCCCTTCCCAGCTTGCCAAGGGCAAGGGATGTTGAGAACTGCAGTATAAGGACACCTGAGGCCCAGTTCCCGAAAACATCCAATTCCCAAATTTGAAAACACCCATAGAATCTACCTGGACTCCCTCCAGGTCTACTTCATTCTTTCTGTGGGGAAGGATTAGGTGTTGCAGTCAAGGTATGTAACTTTCACACACTGCCTCATGGTGTAGTAATACAACAAACTTTACTACAGTTCAGACATTGGGCTAATATATATTTGGTTGACAACTACCATCAGAAGTGACCAGAAAGCTTTACAGTGCTCCCTTGCTACTTCACAGTTCACTTTTAGCTACTTCACGGTTTGCTTTTAACGGACACGCTATATCACGGTTTTTAAAAAATATTAATTTAAAATATTGTGGTATTTTTGCTGTTTTGTGGGTTTTTGCTGCCGCCGCTCTCCAAGACACTTTCTCTCCTCTGTCCTCCCTCCAGCCTGGAAGGGCCATTCCTTCCTTTCCTTAAAACACTTAAAATAGTGTATAACTACTAAAATAATGTGTGTGTGTATATATATATGTGTGTGTGAGAGAGAGAGAGAGAAAGAGGGAGGGAGAGAGAATGTTTGTATGTGGAGGGCGGCCACTGTGGTACAATTTGCATAAGGTCTCTGATTGGACAGCCTCAACATTCTAATATTTTGATTCGTTGCCACTGTAGTATAATTTGCATATGGTTTCTGATAGGCCAGCCTCAACATTCTAACATTCTGAAGTGGCTGAGAGGGAACAGGTAAGAGTCTGAGACTTTCAGGAATGGTGGGAGTTGAAGTCCAAAACACCTTGTGGCCCCCAACAATGACAGAACAAGACCAATCTTGTTACACAGGGGTTGAAGAAAACTCTGGGAAACTTAATTTAATTGGACTACAACCGCCAGAAACCTCCAGCATGCCATGCCCACTGCAGGATTCTGGGAGGTGTAATCCAAGAAAGTAAATTTCTACTACACTCGAGTAGCACTTCAAAACTCCAACTCTCCAGTTTTTTTGGACTTCAACTCAACTACCTTGGGCAACGATCAGGGATTCTGGAACCTAAAGTCCAAAGAAGCTAGAAGGCTGTAGTTTGAGAAACACAGCTTGGGAAAGAAGTCTTCTCCAAAAAGGTTGACCATGAAAGGAACTCACACGCTAATGGATGGACCCCACTCAAACACTTGCAAATCAGGCTTGGTAATTGCATCCTTCACACTTGGTTAATAGACACTGGTCCTTTCTCCCACTCTGTACATTCCACAGATATATATACTCAGATTAGAAAAAAAATCCACTTATATCCCCATACTAAAAAAGGGAAACGCTAAAGAGTGCTCAAACTTTTGTACAGTGGCATTTAGTTCATGTACCAGTAAGGTATCCAGAGAGCACTGAACACAGACGACATCAGATCTGGACCAAATTTGGCACACAGACCAAACATGGCCAACTGTGCATACAGTCGGGGTTTGAGAGTGATTGACATTGGATCTGGGAGTTGTAGTTCGCCATTATCCAGAGAGTAGTGAACGATGTCTGATCTGGACCAAATATGGGACACAGACCCAACATGTGCATACAGGTGGGGTTTTGGGGTGATTGACCTTGGATCTGGGAGTTGTAGTTCACCTTTATCTAGAGCAGTGCTTCTCAACCTTCCTAATACAGCAACCCCTTCATACAGTTCCTCATGTTGTGGTGACCCCCCCCCCAACCATAAAATAATTTTCGTTGCTACTTTGTAACTGTTAATGTTGCTCCTGTTATGAACCATCATGTAAATCTCTGACATGCAGGATGTATTTTCATTCACTGGACCAAATTTGGCACAAATACCCAATACACCCAAATTTGAATACTGGTGTGGTTGGTTGATTTTGTCATTTGCGATTTCTAGTTGCTGGGATTTATAGTTCGCTTACAATCAAAGAGCATTCTGAACTCCAGCAACGATGGATGCAAAGACCATCACTCCCACTGAAACTCCTGCCACATTCCATGCATTTATGTGGCTTCTTCCATGTGGCTCCATTGATGGACACGCAGATCTCTACTTCGTGAGAAGCTCTTTCCACATTCCATGCATTTGTGTGGCTTCTCCCCGGTGTGGGTCCTTTGATGGGAGTGCAGACTACCACCCTGACTGAAAGTCTTCCCACATTCCATGCATTTGTATGGCTTCTCCCCTGTGTGGGTCCTAAGATGGACATATAGATTTCCACTTCCTGGAAAGCTCTTTCCACACTCCTTGCATTTGTGTGGCTTCTCTCCTGTGTGGCTCCTTTGATGGACATGCAGATTTCCACTTCGTGTGAAGCTCTTTCCACATTCCTTGCATTTGTGTGGCTTCTCCCCCGTGTGGGTCCTTTGATGACGAAGCAGAGCTGCTCTCTGACTGAAGCTTTGTCCACATTCCAGGCATTCATATGGCTTTTCCCCGGTGTGGATCCTTTGATGGATACGCAGATTTCCATTTACTGTGAAGCTCTTTCCACATTCCATGCACTGGTGTGGCTTCTCCCCTGTGTGGGTCCTTAGATGGACGCGCAGAATTCCACTTCGCGTGAAGCTCTTTCCACACTCCTTGCATTTGTGTGGCTTCTCCCCTGTGTGGGTCCTTTGATGGATACGCAGAATTCGACTTTGTGTGAAGCTCTTTCCACATTCCTTGCATTCATATGGCTTCTCCCCCATGTGGGTCCTTTGTTGGTGCCATAGATGTTTACTCTGGTTGAGGTTCTTTCCACATTCCATACCCTGATTTAGATTCTCCCCTGTCTGTTCACTGGGATAGGGATGTAGAGAATCTTCCATTCTTTTACATTTATAGATTCAAATATGTTAGAACTTCATCCAACCGTCTTGAACATGACACGATTTTTTTCCTTCTCAGTCTTTGATTTTTCTGTAGACTCTCTAGTTTTTGTTGGAAATCAAGATTTCTGCAGAACAATCTTGTGTGTTTTCCCCCTTGATTTTACAGATGTATGATTTCTATGTTTTCTCTTCCTTCTTTCCTTCTTGTATACCATTAAGTCATTCTGGACTGAGGACAACCCTAAAGCAAAGCGGTTACAAGATTTTCTTCACAAGATTCATTCAGAGGGTACCTGCAGGATGAAAAAGAGGAGAATCTCATCAGGACTTGAGTACAGATAGATTTCATTAGACATCAGGACTGATGACTGAGAGCTAGAACAAGACTATAACTCCCAGCATCCCCTAGACCAGGCCCTTTAAGGAGAGGAAAATGATCCAAATGCATTGCCTCCAAGATGAAAGGTTTCTTTTCCTTGGATTTATTTGAGAGCATGGAGCCCCCAGTGGCGCAGTGGGTTAAAGCCCTGTGCCGGCAGGACTGAAGACTGACAGGTCGCAGGTTCGAATCCGGGGAGAAGCGGATGAGCTCCCTCTATCAGCTCCAGCTCCTCATGCGGGGACATGAGAGAAGCCTCCCACAAGGATAAAAACATCAAATCATCCGGGCATCCCCTGGGCAACGTCCTTGCAGACGGCCAATTCTCTCACACCAGAAGCGACTTGCAGTTTCTCAAGTTGCTCCTGACACGATAAAAAAAAATTGAGAGCATCCCAATTCCTGCATATTTCCTATTTCTGGACTGCAACTCCCAGCAATCCTCCAGATAGATAGATTAGATAGGTAGGTAGATCAATCAGGAGGATTACTGGGAGTTGCAGTTCAAGAATAGGTAGAGAAGGAAGAAAGAGGAGAAAGTAGAAGGAAAATAAAAGGGGAGAAGGAAGGGAAGAAGAAGAGAAGGAAGGAAGGAAGGAAGGAAGGAAGGAAGGAAGGAAGGAAGGAAGGAAGGAGAGAAGGAAAGAACAAAAGGGAAGGAAGGAAAGAAGGAAGGAGAGAAAGAAAGGAGGAGAGAAAGAGGGAGGGGAGGTTGGCTACAGCAACACGTGGTGGGTATAGCTAGTAAGTTGTAAAAAACCATCCCTACTGTGATTGGTATAGTACTGTTTGTAATGGTTTTGTGTCTTTGCGATTTGGGGAATCCATTTTCAGTTTAGTTATTCTCTAACCATCCACCCAGCTTCTCTTTCCTCCCCTCCAATCATCATTTTATTTATTTATTTATTTATTTATTTATTTCAAAGTTTTATAGACCCACCTTCTCACCTCTTTTGAGGGACTCAGACCGGTTTCCAACCATAAAATCACATACAATCAGTAAAACAACATAATTCATATTACAATAACACATTAAAACAACAAGTATATTCAAAACTACAGTGGTCAGTCGTCATACTAAAATCGATTATACATCCATTCCTTCGAACCCTCAGAACCAAACGTTGCCTTTATTTGCCATGCAAAAAGCCCCAAAAGACTCAGAGAAACTGCCCTCCCTCACCAGGACTTTGGGTTAAAATCAGAAAGGGTGAGAGAGAGAGAGAGAGAGAGAGAGAGAGAGAAAGACAGACAGACCCCCATGGAAGCAAGAGAAGGACTAGCCCTCTCCATCCATCTGGTAGAAGAGGAAGGGGTCCCACTAAAACCAGAAGAAGGAAGGATATAAAAGGAAAGGAAGGGAAAGCAGGAAGGAAGGAAGGAAGGAGAGAGGAAAGGAAATAAAGGAATGAGAGACAGGAAGAAAGGGGAGAAGGAACGATGAAAGATAAAGCTCTATACGGTTCTAGCCCAGTTTACTTGTCCAAACGCATCCGCCCCTACGTCCCACCTCGTTATCTAAGATCATCCAGGGGGGCCCTGCTCTTCCTCCCGTCAACAGCAAAAATGTGTATGGCAGGGACGAGAGACAGGGCCTTCTCGGCTGTGGCCCCCTGCCTATGGAACACACTCCCAAGCTGTGAACCTGCATCTTCAGGGGGAGTGTAACCCCATCCAACACAGGCTGTAACCCTATGCCCTGTTTGGCCTTGCGACTGACCAGGAGTACCTCTGTCTTGTCTTCTCTAAGCTTTCCTGTCTTCTCATTATGTGGCCAAAGTACTTCATCTTTACCTCTAATATCCTTCCCTCCAGTGAGCAATTGGGGATTATTTCCTGGAGGATGGACTGATTTGATCTGGATCCTCTGGGGAGGACCTCCTCTCGCAAGTGTGACTTATGGGGACGAGAGAGGCTTCTCTGTGGTGGCCCCTCGGCTTTGGATTTTGCTACCCAGAGAGATTAGGCAAGCACCCACCCTGGCAGCCTTCAGAAAGAGCCTAAAAACCTGGCTGTTTTGGTGTGCCTTTGATGAATACAATCCCCACACCATGACCAGCTCAGCACAATATGCCCATTGATGCACTTTATCTCATCCTTCAATGATATTTACCCCATTGCTGTTCCCAACTGAAATCCCCCCCACCCCATCCTATTCATCTATCTCACCCAGGGTTTTTATATTTTAATTCTACCCTTTTAACTTGGCCCAGCCCGCTGTATATATTTTTATTATTTCATTTCCTGTATTTGATTTTGTATATTAATTTGCGTTGTTTATATTTCATTTCGTGTTATTATTTGCTTTATGTTTTTTTTATTTGTTGTAATTTTTTGGCTTGACCCCATATTAACCTCCCTGAGTCCCTGTTAGGGAGATGGTGGTGGGGTATAAATAAATATTATTATTATTATTATTATTATTATTATTATTATTATTAATTATTCAGCCTCTGTTTCAAAGCCTCCACCACATTCTGAGACAGAGAGTTCCACTGCTCTCACAGGAAGTTCTTCTGAATGTTCAGGTGGAATCTGAATATTTCTGTCCCTGTGATAATGACTCTTCCAGGACTGGATTTCCTTTCCTTTGGAGGTAAAGATCCCTCTCAATTCCTGTTGTCTCAGCCTTGTTCTCAACTAGGAATTGTTTGTAAGTCGTGTGTTTGTAACTCGGAGACTCCCTGTAATACGTCCCAAACCTGGGCCCTTCCACACAGCCATATAACCCAGAATATCAAGGCAGATATTTCTGTTTTATTATTCTAAAGCCTTTGACAGCGTGGATCATAATAAATCGTGGCAAGTTCTTGGTGGTATGTTAGCACATGTTCCGCACCACCAACCAATGTGCAAAACTGAAGACAGCAGAAGGATGCCTGCCTTCCAAGGCTGGATCTACACTTCCCTTTATCCCAGGATCTGCTGATCTTCTTATCCCAGATTATCCGGCAGTGTAGACCAGGCATGGGCAAACTTGGAGGCGGGTTTTCCCTCAGAAGAGACCTTTTTTCCCCTCAGAAAAGCCCACATGTGGCAGGTTTTCCCTCCGAAAAGGCCTCTTTTCCCTCAGAAAGGCCACGAGGCGGGTTTGGCCTCAGAAGAAACCTCTTTTCCCTCAGAAGAGAACAGAGGAGGTGGGTTTTCTCTCAGAAAAGGCCTCTTTCCCCTCAGAAAGGCCACAAGAGACAGGTTTGGCCTCAGAAGAAACCTGTTTTCCCTCAGAAGAGAACACTGGAGGTGGGTTTTCTCTCAGAAAAGGCCACATGTGGAAGGTTTTCCCTCAGAAAAGCCACAAGGCTCCACAAGAGGTGGGTTTGGCCACAGAAGAAACCTTTTCCCTCATAAAAGGCCACATGTGGCAGGTTTTCCCTCATAAAAGACCTCTTTCCCCTCATAAAAGGCCACATGTGGCAGGTTTTCCCTCAGAAAAGGCCTCTTTTCCCTCAGAAAGGCCACAAGAGGCGGATTTGGCTCAGAAGAAACCTCTTTTCCCTCAGAAGAGAACACAAGAGGCAGGTTTTCCCTCAGAAAAGGCCTCTTTTCCCTCAAAAAAGCCACAAGAGGTGGGTTTGGCCTCAGAAGAGAACACTGGAGGAGGGTTTTCTCTCAGGAAATGCCTCTTTTCCCTCAGAAAGGCCACAAGAGGCGGATTTGGCTCAGAAGAAACCTCTTTTCCCTCAGAAGAGAACACAGGACAGGTTTTCCCTCAGAAAATGCCTTTTTTCACGAATGCTACAGTGTAGAGAAGGCATGGGCAAATTTCGGCCCTCCCGGTGTTTTGGTCTGCCAGCCGTTAGGAATTGTGGGCCTTCCGCAACCACGTGACTAAGAATGCCCCCCCCCCCCGCGCTTTTTTCCTACCAATGGGATTCGGCGGAACGCTTCGGAGCTGAGGGCGCCACGGCGCATGCGTCACTCTCCCCCTTTCCTCCGCCTTCTGAACGCTTCAGCCCTCTCTAGAAAGGCAGCCGAACTCGCTGCTTCTTGGAGGAGGGCAACCGGAAGGCCTTCTTTCCGTCTCTCTCTCTCTCTCTCTGACTCCTTCCTCCTCTACTTCCGCCAAGCTCTGGTTTCCCTCAGAAAGAAAGAAGATCCCAGGTAAAGACAGGCCACGCCCCCTTCTTAACGGTCACTGGATGGAAAAGGGAGGAGGGAGGGGTGGGACTGACGCGTGGAACGCTGAACGAGAAAGGTGATTGGTGGGACGACTGAGGCGATTTGCATACGCCGGCTGGTTGGCTGTTGCCATGGAGATGGAGGCAGGGAGAAGCTGAGTACCCGCTGTACTCCATCTTCAAATTTGTGGGACGCCTGGAGTGATTTGCATACGGCTGCTGGTTGGCTGTTGCCATGGAGATGGAAGGAGGCCGGGAGAACCCTGAGTTGGCCTCCTGCTCTGTCTGCCTTTAGGGGGCGCTCCATAAATTGAGCATGGGAAGCAGCATTGGAAAGCGGGTTGCTGTAAGTTTTCCGGACTGCCCAGAAGCATTCTCTCCTGACGTTTCGCCTGCATCTATGGCAGGCATCCTCACAGCTTGTGAGGTCTGTTGGAAACTAGGAAAAGGGTTTATATGTAGAATAACATCCAAGGAAGGAGAAAGAACTCTTGTCTGTTAAAGGCAGTTGTGAATGTTGGGAAGTACGAGGGTTGAATGAAAAGTAATGCCTCCACCTTCGTATCTCCTCAACAAATGGCAGTATTGGTATGCGGCAGGTACTGGCTTGTTCAGTATTTATTTATTTATTTATTACGGTCGCTTATACCCCGCCCTTCTCACCCCGAGGGGGACTCAGGGCGGCTTACACAACAAGGCACAATTCGATGCCCGCATTACATGACAACAAAAACATAACATCAATAACAATAGCAATTATAGCAATGATAACAATTAACATAAGCAATCATTATTATCGGCAAAACATCCAAAAAATCCATAAAAGCGATTAAAACAATTAAAACAATAAAAGCAATACAAACCTCATTGCTGGTCAGCGTTTAACAGACTCATAGTTTAGGTTCTACTTTCCGCACATTGTCAGTCCTATCCATCTGGATTCCATATCTAATTGTCAGGATGCCCAAAGGCCTGGTCCCATAGCCACGTCTTTACCTTTCTCCTGAAGGCAAGGAGGGATGTTGATGTCCTGATTTCCCCCGGGAGTGAGTTCCACAGGTGAGGGGCCACCACTGAGAAGGCCCTGCTCCTCGTCCCCACCAGCCTCACTTGTGATAGTGGTGGGGTCGAGAGCAGGGCCTCCCCAGATGATCTCAAATTCCGGGGTGGGACGTAGAGGGAGATACGTTCGGACAGATACGCTGGACCGGAACCGTAAAGGGTTTTGTAGGTCAAAACCAGCACCTTGAATTGTGCTCGGAACTGGATTGGCAGCCAGTGGAGCTGACACAACAAGGGAGTTGTGTGTTCCCTGTATGTCGCTCAGTAGACTCTCCTCTACAGTTCCATTTTGGTGGGAAGCCTTAGCATTGAATGGTTGCGTTGTTAAAGTGCGAAGGGTAATAGTACTTTTACTTTTTACTTACTTTACTTAGGCGATCCCTCGTTGGACGAGTAAGATGGTCTTCCTTGATGATTATTTTTGTGAGTTTGTAGGTGGCTGTGGAGCCCTATTCTTGACCTGCATCTTCTCCCACAGTGAGGGCATTGGTTTCCAGGTGGGAGGCGGTCTTGGTTGGGGTTGACTTGACTCGCCTTCCTCTTGGCACATTTCTCTCTTTTGCCCTCCATTCGTGCCTCTTCAAATTCTGCAGCACTGCTGGTCACAGCTGACCTCCAGCTGGAGCGCTCAAGGGCCAGGGCTTCCCAGTTCTCAGTGTCTATGCCAGAGTTTTTAAGGTTGGCTTTGAGCCCATCTTTCAATCTCTTTTCCTGCCCACCAACATTCCGTTTTCCGTTCTTGAGTTCGAAGTAGAGCAACTGCTTTGGGAGACGGTGGTCGGGCATTCGGACAACGCCACTGGTCCAGCGGAGTTGATGGCAGAGGACCATTGCCTCTCCACCAAAGTCAACACTGACACCGAAATACAACGCTGCCTGAGCTCTGCGAGTGCAGCTGGTGGTCTTTGCTTCTTCAAGCACGCTGACGTTTGTCTACCTGTCTTCCCAGGAGATTTGCAGGATTTTCTGGAGGCAGCGCTGATGGAATCGTTCCAGGAGTTGCATGTGACGTCTGTAGACAGTCCACGTTTCGCAGGCGTATAGCAGGGTTGGGAGGACAATAGCTGTATAGACAAACACCTTGGTATCCCTACAGATGTCCCAGTCCCCAAACACTCTCTGCTTCATTTGGAAAAATGCTGCACTCGCAGAGCTCAGGCGGTGTTGTATTTCAGCGTCGATGTTTACTTTGGTGGAGAGGTGGCTGCCAAGGGAGCGGAAATGGTCAACCTTTTCTAATGTTGACACCATTAAGCTGTATTTCTGGCATTGGAGAGGGGATGACTGGAGACTGCTGGAACAGCACTTTGGTTTTCGCGATGTTCAATGACAGGCCGAGCTTCTCGTATGCAAAGGTGTTTAGAGTGACTTGTAGATCTTCTTCTGAATGCGCACAGATGACGTTGTCATCAGCATCCTGGAGTTCTATAACAGATGTTGTTGTAACCTTGGTTTTGACTTTCAGTCTGCTGAGGTTAAACAGCTTGCCATCTATCCGATAGATGATTTCCACTCCGGTGGGAAGCTTCCCTTCAACAAGGTGAAGTCTCATAGCGATGAAGATGGAGAATAAAGTTGGGGCAATAACACATCCCTGTTTGACACCTGATTCTACCTTAAATGGAAGGGATTTATATGTAGAATAACATCCAAGGAAGGAGAAAGAACTCTTGTCTGTTGGAGGCAGGTGTGAATGTTGGAAAGTACGAGGGTTGAATGAAAAGTATTGCCTCCACCTTCGTAACTCCTCAACAGATGGCAGTACTGGTATGCGGCAGGTACTGGCTTGTTCAGTATACTCTCCTCTACAGTTCCATATTGATGGGAAGCCTTAGAATTGGTTGTGTTGTTAAAGTGTGAAGGGTAATAGTATAATAGCTGGGTACGGAAGCTCCGAGCGTTCTGGAGCGCTGTTTGCGCAAGAGAGCTAATGTAAGTCAGGCTGGAGACAGATAATAGAGAAGGAATGTAAGTGTGCTTTAATGGTGAAATCCCTTACGCTAACCCTAAACTTTACCTTAAGACTAAGCCTAACCCCTTACCCTAACCCTAACCCAAACCCTAAACCTTAAGGTAAAGGTTTTCCCCTGACATTACGTCCAGTCATGTCTGACTCTGGGGTGTGGTGCTCATCTCCATTTCTAAGCCGAAGAGCTGGCGTTGTCCGTAGACACCTCCTAGATCATGTGACCGGCATGACTGCAAGGAGCGCCGTTACCTTCCCACCGGAGCGGTACCTATTGATCTACTCACATTTGCATGTTTTCGAACTGCTAGGTTGGCAGAAGCTGGGGCTAACAGGGGGAGCTCACACCCCCGGATTCGAACCTGCAACCTTTCGATCAACAAGTTCAGCAGCTCAGTGCTTTAACCCACTGTGCCACCGGGGGCTCCTTACACTAACCCAAACCCAAAACCTTACCCTAACCCTAAACCAGGGGCGGCTCAACCGTTACGCAAAGTAAGCCGTTGCGGAACACTTCATTTCCCCCAGGGGCGCTCTTCGGCAGCAGCCTCCTCCTCGCCCCTCTGCTGCTCCGTGGCTAAAAGGGTTCCTTCCTCGCCAGGATGGGCTCCCAAGCCTGGTGCCCAGCCTGGGGAGGAAGGAGAACGGAGTAACAAAGGGGTGAGGGGGAAGCTGCCGCCGCTGAGGCCCTCTTCGGCAGCAGCCTCCTCCTCGCCCCTCTGCTGCTCCGTGGCTAAAAGGGTCCCTTCCTCGCCAGGCTGGGCTCCCAAGCCTGGCGCCAAGCCTGGGGAGGAAGGAGCACGGAGGGTCAAGGGGGAAGCCGCCGCCACCAATGCCCTCTTTGGCAGCGGCCTCCTCCTTGCATAGATATATATGTATACATATATATATACAGATGTGTGTGTGTGTGTGTGTGTGTACACACGCACACATACATATACATACACAGGCCTGGGCCAATGGATTGATTTAGTCATTTGGGAGTTGTAGTTGCTGGGATTTATAGTTCACCTACAATCAAAGAGCATTCTGAACTCCACAATGATGGAATTGAACCAAACTTGGCACACAGAACTCCCATGACCAACAGAAAATACTGAAAGGGTTTGGTGGGCATTGACCTTGAGTTTTGGAGTTGTAGTTCACCTACACCCAGAGAGCACTGTGCACTCAAACAATGAAGGATTTAGACCAAACTTGGCACAAATACTCCATGTGCCCAAATGTGAACACTGGTGAAGTTTGGGGGGAAATAGATCTTGACATTTGCGAGTTGAAGTTACTGGAATTTATAGTTCACTTACAATCAAAGAACATTCTGAACCCCACTAACGATAGAATGGGGCCAAACTTCCCACATTGAATCCCCCATGACCAACAGGAAGCATTGTTTTCCGGTGGTCTTTGGCGACCCTTGTGACACCCCCTCATGATCCCCCCCCCAGCCCAGGTTGAGAAATGCTTCCTTATAGCCAACCAGACCAACTCCCTTCACCAGAGCAAGAAAACAATCAAAGCCCTCCTGACAAAGAGCCATCCTGCCATAGATATAGATAGATCTATAGGATTCAAACACACACACACACACAGGAAGATATAATATCATAGATTTGAAAGGGATCCCTAAAGAAGGACAATGATATGTTTTATGTTCCAGAGTAGGCAAACCAGACAATTGCTACGTCAATACTGACAAAGAAACAACAAGAAATACTGTTTACCCACAAGCATCAAGAAATTATATATATTAGAAACCAACACTTTCTCATTACTTTATTTTCCAGATCACCAGACTGGCCACAGCAATGCGTGACAGGGGACGAGAAGAAATTTAAAAGCATATATATATATATTAGGCCTGGGTAACAACGGAAAAATTTGTTTCTAAAATCGATTCATTTTTTGGTTTTTTTTTCGATATTTAAAATAATTACAAAATTTTCCTTTTAAAAAGTTTGATATTTACGAAATTTCGTAAATGGTAAAAAATTAACGAATCGATTTCCGAAACAATAACGAATCGATTCGTTAATGGCGGACGCGACCGCGAAATATGCTAAAAAACCTCCAAAACCTTCTGAAGCTTCCCTCTCCCTCTGTTGTTGACTGTTGGTGTGATATTATAATTTTTTTCACTAATTAAACCATAAAACTGGCCCAGACATGCGGAAATAATAACGAAACGACCTCAAAACAATAACGAAACGAATACAATAGCGAAATACGAAGCATTTACAAAACGTTTTTGAAAATTCGTTTTTTTTAAAATTGCTCCAGAATGGTTCGTTATCGTTTTGTAATTGAAAAAATTAACGAATTATTAACGAATTACGAATTAACGAAACGAAACCGCCCCGCCCTAATATATATATATATATATATATATGGCATGGGCCAACTTCGGCCCCCCATGTGTTTTGGACTTCAACTTCCACAATTCAAAATAACCAGTAAGATGTCCAAAACTGTACCCTAACTGTAACCCGTAACCCTTACCCTAACCATAACCAAACCCTAAACCTTGTCCTAATCCTTAGCCTAAGTGTCCTCTCCTGTCTATTTTCACTTCTGTCAGTTTGCCCATACACAGTGACTCTCCTTTACTCAGAATTTGTTTCCAGGTGGAGGGCTCATTCCTTAGGGCAGTGTTTCTCAAACTTCCCAATACCACGACCCCTTGATACAGTCCCTCATGTTGTGGTGACCTCCAACCATAACATTATTTTCGTTGGGTTGTTGTAGGTTTTTCCGGGCTATATGGCCATGTCCTAGAGGCATTTTCTCCTGACGTTTCGCCTGCATCTATGGCAAGCATCCTCAGAGGTAGTGAGGTCTGTTGGAACTAGGAAAATGGGTTTATATATCTGTGGAATGACCAGGGTGGGACAAAGGACTCCTGTCTGTTGGAGCTAGGTGTGAATGTTTCAGCTGACCACCTTGATTAGCATACAATGGCCTGACTGTGCCTGGGGCAAACTTTTGTTGAGAGGTGTCCCTGCTTGCTTCCTCTCTGTTGTTGTGAAATCAGCCATAGCAGAGCACCTGAGGAACCAACCTGGACACAGCATATTATTTGAGAACACGGAAATGCTGGACCACTCTCACAACCACCATGTCAGACTACACAGAGAAGCCACTGAAATCCACAAGCAGGTGGACAATTTCAACAGAAAGGAGGAGACCATGAAAATGAACAAAATCTGGCTATCAGTATTAAAAAACTCTAAAATTACAACAGCAAAACAACAGAGGGGAAACAATCAAGGACGTCTAATCACTTCTCAACAAAAGATTGCCCCAGGCACTGCCTGGCCATCAAATGCTAATCAAGGTGGTCAGCTTTAACATTCACACCTAGCTCCAACAGACAGGAGTCCTTTGTCCCACCCTGGTCATTCCACAAATATATAAACTCATTTTCCTAGTTCCAACAGACCTCACGACCTCTGAGGATGCTTGCCATAGATGCAGGCGAAACGTCAGGAGAGAATGCCTCTAGAACATGGCCATATAGCCCGAAAAAACTTACAGCAACCTATTTATTAAAATACACAAAACAAAGATTAAAATATAGGAAACACAAGACATGATTTTAAAATTCATAGATAAAAATTGACTGGTTAGGCTTTTCGAAAGATATAGATCTTCAGTTGTTTCTTAAATTCCGACAGCTGATTTAGCTGTCGGAGTTCTTCTGGCAGGTCATTCCACAGTCTTTGGGCAACTGATGAAAACTTCCTCTGGGTGATGTTCACCAGTCGAGTTCTGGTTGTCTGAAGTAGATGCTCTCCAGAGGACCAAAGTGTGTGGGGCAGATTGTGCAGGAGAAGGTGATCCTGTAGGCCACCTGGATCCAAACCATGTAGGGCAGTGGTTCTCAACCTGGGGGTCACGACCCCTGGGGGGGGTCGCAAGGGGGTGTCAGAGGGGTGGCCAAAGATCATCAGAAAACACAGTAATTTCTGTTGGTCATGAGGGTTCTGTCTGGGAAGTTTGGCCCAATTCTGTTGTTGGTGGGGTTCAGAATGCTCTTTGATTGTAGGTGAACTATAAATCTCAGCAACTACAACTCCCAAATGTCAAGTTCTATTTTCCCCAAACACTACACCAGTGTTCCTATTTGGGCATATTGAGTATTCATGTCAAGTTTGGCCCAGAACCATCATTGTTTGAGTCCACAGTGCTCTCTGGATGTAGGTGAACTACAACTCCCAAACTCAAGGTCAGTGCCTACCAAACCCTTCCAATATTTTCTGTTGGTTGTGGGAGTTCTGTGTGCCAAGTTTGGTTCAATTCCGTCATTGGTGGAGTTCGGAATGCAATTTTATTATAGGTGAACTATAAATCCCAGCAACTACAACTCCCAAATAACAATATCAATCTCCCACAACCCCACCAGTATTCAAATTTGTGTGTATTGGATATTTGTGCCAAATTTGGTCCATCCTGCATATCAGATATTTATATGACGATTCATAACAGTAGTAAAATTACAGTTATGAAGAAGCAACGAAAATAATGTTATGGTTGGGGGTCACCACAGCATGAGGAACCAGATTAAGGGGTCGCAGCATTAGGAAGGTTGAGAAACACTGATGTAGGGCTTTAGAGGCCAAAACCAATATGTTGTACTTTGCCCAGAAACTAATTGGCAAGCAGTAGAGTGACTTTAGGATATGTGTAACATGCTCACTCCTGGATGTGAATGAATGCCTGCCTTCTATTCCTTCCTTCATTGTTTTCTGTTCCTTGTGTCCTTTTGAGTTTTAGTCCCAATTGTGTTTACTCGGTGTAACTGAATCTAGTACGTCTCTTGCCTGTGAATCTGAGATTGGCTTTTCTTGGTTTCTGTGTAAGCATTTGAGACTGTTTCTTGGTATTTGTGGTTTCAATATTATCCATCAAGGGAAAAAAGCTTTGGTTACATCCCGTCTAGATTACTGCAACGCTCTCTACGTGGGGTTGCCTCTGAAGACTGCCCGGAAGCTGCAGCAAGTACAACGCGCGGCAGCCAGACTACTAACCGGTGCTGGGTACAGGGAGCACTCCACTCCGCTGTTACACCAGCTCCACTGGCTGCCAATTAGCTTCCGAGCACAATTCAAAGTGCTGGTATTAGCCTATAAAGCCCTAAACGACTCTGGCCCTGTTTACCTCTCCGAACGTATTCTCCCCTATGAACCATCAAGATTATTAAGATCGTCTGGAGAGGCCCTGCTCTCGGTCCCACCGGCCTCGCAAGCGCGTCTGGTGGGGACGAGGGACAGGGCCTTCTCAGTGGTGGCCCCGCGACTCTGGAACTCTCTCCCACCGGAGGTCGGAACCGCCCCATCTATCCTGACATTTAGGAAACGGGTGAAGACGTGGTTGTGGAGTCAGGCCTTTGATGAATGAGACAACACCCTAGGACTCTGGATGGAAGATCATGTATATTTTGAATTTTAATATGGCGACTGACCATCGTAGTTTTATATATAGTGTTATTTTATATATAGTGTTATTTTAAATGTGCTCTGTAATTGTAAACTGTAATATTTTAATGATTGTATGTGTTTTTATGGTTGTAAACCGGGCTGAGTCCCTCAACGAGGTTGAGAAGCTCGGTATAGAAAACTCTGAAATAAATAAATAAATAAATAAATAAATAAATAAATAAATAAATAAGGGTAATCTTGGAGGAAAAAAATGGTTTTTGGGCTTCTGATCTTTTCCTTCTTTTTTCTTAGCCAGGAAAATGAAGATTGTACGGAGTACTTCAGGTATGATAAGAAACAAACAATCATTTATTGGATTTTGAGGAGTTTAGAAGGAAAATAAAGAAACCAATCATCCAGAAAGAAGAAATTCTCTCATGATGTGATATTGCTGAACTCTTAACCTCACTTATCAGAAAGGGGGGGAAAAAATAAAAGTCACGTGTCCATATTGTACACATCACTGTCAACATGGGGAAGAAACCTTATAAATACAATGAATGTAGAAAGAAATTCAGTAAGCATGGTCATCTCCAGTTACATGAAAGAACTCACACTGGAATGAAGCCATATGACTGCCTGGAATGTGGAAAGAGTTTCACTCAGAGTGCACATTTACATGCACATCAAAGGATTCACACTGGGGAGAAACCTTATACATGTCTGGAGCGTGGGAAGAGCTTCACTGAGAGTGGAAATCTGCATAAACATCAAAGGATTCACACTGGGGAGAAACCCTATGAATGCCTGGAGTGTGGAAAGAGTTTCCGTGAAAGCCGAAATCTACGTTCCCATCAAAGAATTCACACTGGAGAGAAACCGTATAAATGTACGACATGTGGAAAGAGCTTTAGTCAGCAAGGCAGTCTGCAGTTTCACGAAAGAACTCACACTGGGATGAAACCCTATGAATGTCTGGAGTGTGGAAAGAACTTCACCCGGTATGATCAGCTACATTTACATCAAAGAATTCACACTGGAGAAAAACCCTATGAATGCCTGCAGTGTGGAAAGCGCTTCCCACAGAGAGCACATCTACATTCACATCAAAGAACTCACACTGGGGAGAAACCCTATAAATGTCTGGCATGTGGAAAGAGTTTTAGTCAGCAAGGACATCTGCAGATACATGAAAGAACTCATACTGGGGAGAAACCCTATAAATGCATGGAGTGTGGAAAGTCCTTTGCTCGTAGTGGAAATCTTCAATTGCATCAAAGAACTCATACTGGGGAGAAACCCTATGAATGCCTGGAGTGTGGCAAGAGCTTCACTCATAGTGGAAATCTACATTCACATAAAAGAACTCACACTGGGGAGAAACTTTATACATGTCTGGAGTGTGGCAAGAGCTTCACTGAAAATGGAAGTCTACATAAACATCAAAGAACTCACACTGGGGAGAAACCCTATGGATGCTTGGTGTGAAAGGAATTTCACTCGGAATGATCAGCTACATTCCCATCAAAGAATTCACACTGGAGAGAAACCGTATAAATGCCTGGTATGTGAAAAGAGCTTTAGTCAGCAAGGTCATCTCCAGTTACATGAAAAAACTCACACCGGGATGAAACCCTATGAGTGCCTGGAGTGTGGAAAGAGCTTCACTCAGAATGTTCAGTTGCATTCACATCAAAGAACGCACACCAAGGAGAAACCTTATACATGTCTGGAGTGTGGCAAGAGCTTTACTCATTGTGGGAGTCTACATATACATCAAAGGACTCACACTGGGGAAAAACCCTATACATGCATGGAGTGTGGAAAGAGCTTCACTCATAGTGGAACTCTACATTCCCATCAAAGAACTCACACTGGAAAGAAGCCGTATAAATGCTTGGCATGTGGAAAGAGCTTTAGTCAGCAAGGAAATCTGCAGTTTATGAAAGAACTCATACTGGAGAGAAACCCTATAAATGCCTGGAGTGTGGAAAGTCCTTCGCTCGTAATGGAAGTCTACATTCACATCAAAGAACTCACACTGGGGAGAAACCCTATAAATGTTCAGATTGTGGAAAGAACTTTGCTCGTAGTGGAAATCTACATTCCCATCAAAGAACTCATACTGGGGAAAAACCCTATACATGCCTGGAATGTGGAAAGAGCTTCAGTCAGCATAGCAGTCTCCAAATACATCAAAGAACTCACACTCAGGAGAAACCCTATCAGTGCATGGAGTGTGGAATGAGCTTTATTCAGAGTGGAAATCTACGGTCACATCAAAGAATTCACACTGGGGAGAAACCCTTTAAATGCATGGAATGTGGAATGAGTTTTGTTCAAAGTGGAAATCTAAGTTTACATCAAAGAATTCACATCGGGGAGAAACTCTATAAATGCCCGTAGTGTGGAAAGGGCATCAAAGTGTTGCAGCATACGTTACCCTGATTCATTCGAGTGCTTGAGAAGAAGGAAGAGAATGGAGACAGCATGTCAATTTCCAGGCTTTTTACTATCTCTGCAGAGTATAGGGTGAACAGCGAGCAAAGGGCTATCACACCTTGAAGTCTCAATTGCTTCAGTATTTATAGCATAAAATCAGCTTTCCCGTACATGCGCAGTCAGTATCTGACATTTACTTAGTACAATCATTAACAGGTATTCAAATATATAGTTGCCAAGAACATCTTTATCAAATCTGACAAATGCTTTGTGAACTCAACATCTGCTGATTTATATAACATGTTTTCCATTAGGTGATTCTTAAAGTTCAAATTCTTAAATCTCTAATTGAATTATAACTTTCATATACTTATAACATAAGATCTAATCAAGGCAATCTCCTTTAGTTAATTCAGCCTTTAAAACTTCATAACTTATTTCTTAATATGAAAATTAATAGAAATCAATAGAATAATGCTTTCAGAAAATGCCAGAAAATGTCAGAAGATTGTGCTCTCTCACTATATGACCTTAGATGTTCCGAGTCATGTTGATAGAGTTAGATCGATAATATTGATCTCTTAAGTTTGCCAAGTCCCTCTGCTGACCACCTTATCTAAGCAAACGCTGCCTAGAACAAACCCTGGCCAAGGCCCTGGCATTTTCAATGGAAAATCAATACCGGCTGTTCTATTCTGAGGTCTTTCACAGAAAAGCCGCTGTTTCCCTTCTGAACAGTCAGGTAGGATTTTAAGACTTATTTTAATTCTAAATTATTGTGATTTTCATTATTAAGCCCTAAACAGTTCTGGCCCTACTTACTTCTCCGAATGCATCTCCTCCTATGAACCAACTAGGACATTAAGATCATCTGGGGAGGCCCTGCTCTCAGTCCCGCCTGCATCAGAGGCGCGCCTAGTGGGAACGAGAGACAGGGCCTTCTCAGTGGTGGCCCCTCGGCTGTGGAATGCCCTTCCTATAGATCTCAGATCGGCCCCATCCCTTTTGGCATTTTGGAGGAAAGTGAAGACCTGGCTGTTCGAACAAGCATTCGATTAAGCAGTGTAATGAATATAGGAACACGGATTAACGGATGATGAGATTGGATTCTGATTTTACTGATGAGACACTGATTGTTATATTGATGTTTAATTGTTGATGATGCTATTGTTTTAACTGTCCCATAATTGTTTTATGATGTTTTGCATTGAATTTTGCTGTTGTTAACCGCTTTGAGTTGCCTGAGGGCTGAGAAAAGCGGTATATAAATGAAGTAAGTAAATAAATAAATATTATTATATTTTCTCCTAACTGCTCCTACAAAAGAGCACATCTACATAAACATTTAAAAAAACCCACACTGGGGGAAAGCTCTATAAGTGATTGTGAGCTCCGTAGAATTGTCTATTTGTTCATTGGATATTATAGTCTGTGTTTATGTCAGTGTGTGTTTTGTTGGTGCGTTTGTTTCTGATTTAGTGTTGTAGTCTTTCTTTTGTAGTTGCCAGTTAAGCTTCGTTCTAGCCTTCGACACTGTAAAATTTCTGCTTCTATTTGTATTATTATTGCTTATTTTTACTAAAAATAAGCAATAATGTTTTGCTAGTTTAACCTTTAATTGATTTTCTTGGGGGTATGTCTTTGGTTTTCATAGATGCTCATCATAATCCAGCATTTAAATAATAATAATAATAATAATCTTTATTTCTACCCCGCCACCATCTCCCCGATGGGGACTTGGAGCGGCTTACACGGGGCCAAGCCAGGACAACACATTATAGCAATAAAATCAAAGCATATACAACAGACAACAACCACATTATCAAAAGGATATTAAAAAGAAAAAGAAAATAAAATAAACATTACAATCACAGTAGTGATGACAATGGGCGGGCCACATATTCAGGAGAAAAACAGTTAACAAACTATGATGAGATAAAATAGGAGCAGGACGTTTATAAGGAACTCATAAAACATCCTATTTGGAGGGCACGAACTCCATTAGCAGAAAACGTTGAGGGGTGCAAAATATGCTGTGCACCTACTCCCCAAAGGCGCAGCGGAAAAGCCAGGTTTTGAGGTCCTTTTTAAACGTTTCTAGTGAAGGGGCTTTCCTGATTTCCCCAGGTAAGGAGTTCCAAAGTCGAGGGGCCACAGAAAAGAAGGCTCTCTCCCTTGTGCCCACAAGATGAGCTTGTGAGATTGTTAGAGGCGAAAGGAGGACCTCCCCTAAGGAACGAAGAAAGTACGTGGAGAGAGATGTGGTCACGAAGGTAGGCGGGTCCCAAACTGTTATATAGCTGGCCCTCCTTATTTGCAGGTTTAGTTGACATGATTATTTGCCAAATTGTTGTCTATTATCCTATCTATCTATCTATCTATCTATCTATCTATCTATCTATCTATCTATCTATCTAATAAAAGTGAAAATATGTTTGTGTGTTTGTGGCGATTTCAAAGACGACTCCTACTTCCAGAGAGTACTGTGACTCCTACAGATGATGGATCTGGACAAAACCTGCCACACAGACCCGTCCCCTTCCCATAAGCAACAAAATATACTGGTGAAGTTTAGGTGGGGATAGACCTGAGATGATGGAAGTTGCAGTCCATCCACATTCAGAGCACTGTGACTCCCACCAATGATGGATCTGGACCAAACTTGGTACACAGACCCCCCCTCACATGACCACTAGAAAATACTGGAGGGGTGGGAGGAGGGGCTAACATAGCATGATGGAAGTTGTAGTTCACCTTGCATCTAGAGAGCCATGTGAACCCCAGTTTCTATAGATAAGGTCCTAACCAGACACATATATCCATCATGGCCAACTTAAATACTGGCATGGTTTGGGAAGGGGCAATAACAAGTGATGATGGAAATTGTAGTCCATCCACATCCAGACAACTGTGTGAACCCCACTGATGATGGATCTGGACCAAACTTCACACACAGAACCCTCATGACCAACAGAAAACACTGGAGGGCTTTAGGGATACTGACCCGGCATGATGGGAATTGTAGTTCATCCTGCATCCAGAGAGTGCTGTGATCCATCCACAATGGATCTGAACTAAACTTGGCACACAAACCACCAACGATGAGCAGAAAATACTGTTGAGTTTCATGGGGATGGACCTGAGATGATGGGAGTTAAGAGTCCACCCACGTCCAGAGACCACTGTGAAGCCCACTTATGATAGATCAGGACCAAACTTGGCACACAAACCCCCCATTACCAGCTTGAAATACGGTTGGGGTTTGGGGGTATGGATCCCAGATTATAGGAGCTGCAGTCCATCCACATCGAAAGAGCTCTGTGTACCCCACCAATGGCAGATCTGGACCAAATTTCGCACATATACCCAACATGACCAACTTTAAAAACTGGAGGGGTTGGGGAGAATTGCCCAAAAGTTGGCGGTTGTAGTTTACCTACATCTTAATACATTTTCTAATGGCTCCATTCTTAAAATCTGTGTACTAAGTATATAATTAAAAAGAGTGAATGTATGTGTATGTGTAGGCTTAGGGTATATATGTTTGTTGTGGCTGATTTCCAAGAACTGGCCCTTTAATACCTTCGGTCTGGCACCTTAGCATGGCCCTTCACTCTACAATCCTGACATTTTAATGCCCAAGGACATTATCCTCCCAGTCCTGCCTTACTGAGTTTGGCACTTTCCTTTAGCTCTACCAAGGAATTTTACACAAACCCAGAACCCCCCGAACTCAGCACTTTTATTGCTCTGTATGGTACTGTTTTCATGATGTTATGTTTTACTGTGATATGTCCTTATTTGGTTTTGTTTTGATTCCATCTTATTGTGTTATGTTTTTTGCCCTCCTCCAATCTGCTGTTGTATATGTGCACCTGGAGTGCCTTGTAAGTCGCCCCGAGTCCCTTCGAGGAGATGGTGGCGGGATATAAATAAAGATTATTATTATTATTATTATTATTATTATTATTATTATTAGCCTTCCCCTGCTATGTGTTGCTGTGGCCCAGTCTGTGTATATATGTTTTGTGTGTGTGTATATGCATATATATGTGTGTGTATATATTTGTTTATATATGTATATATTAGGCTTGGGCGGTTTCGTTCGTTAATTTCGTAATTCGTTATTAATTCGTATTTAAATTAGCTTACGATCCAATATTGAGCCATGCAGGAATAGTGTGAGGAGTAAATTAGATTCGAAACAATTTTTTCAATTTATTTCGTAATTGTTTCGTAATTATTTTCGCATGTCTGGTGCAAGTTTTATAGTTGTTGTTTGTTTTATCACACCAACAGTCAACAACAGAGGGAGAGGGAAGCTTCAGAAGTTCCCCCTGTCCCATTTGGAGGTTTTTTTTAGCATATTGCGCAATTGCGTCCGCCATTAACGAATCAATTCGTAATTTTACGAAATTTCAAAATTTTTAAAAGGAAAATTTCGGAATTATTAAAAAAAACGAAACGTAAGGGCCCCCTAAAAACAAAACGAGTTTAGAACCAAATTTTTCCGTGGTTACCCAAGCCTAGTATATATGTGTGCATATGTGGTTTTGCACATGCGTTGTATTGTTTGGGTTTTTTTTTTTTGCTTTTTAAGTCTTTTTCTGCTGTATTTTTTGGTGTTTTTATGAGGGGTGTATTGTGTCCAAATGTGGTGTCAATTCGTACAGCAGTTTTTGAGTTATGTTAATCCCACAAACATTACATTTTTATTTACATCGATGATATTACTACATTATAACTGTATTCTCAATTTGCTTCTGACACTATAAATATAAATAAATAGAGGGTGCTTGGTCGGTGCTTATCCTGCATGGAAGAATTGGGTTGGACTAGGTGGCCCCTGTGGTCTCTTTCCAACTCTTGTGATTCTATGATTTGATGGAATAAAATCACGGTGAAGCCTTCCTGGGAGACTCAGGAAGGAAAGAACACAATGTCAAGCTTGTTTTCTGCTTCCCTGGAGACTAGGACGCAATGGAACGATGGCTTCAAACTACAAGAAAGGAGATTCCATCTGAACATTAGGAAGAACTTCCTGACTGTGAGAGCCATTCAGCAGTGGAACTCTCTACCCCGGATTGTGGTGGAGGCTCCTTCTTTGAAAGCTTTTAAACAGAGGTTGGATGACCATCTGTCGGGGGTGATTTGAATGCAGTTTTTCTGCTTCTTGGCAGAACAGGGTTAGACTGGATGGCCTGTGAGGTCTCTTCCAACTCTAGGATTCTAAGATGAGAAAGCAACCCATGTAAGCCAGGCCTGGGCCAACTTGGGCCTTCCCTCCATTTTGTTTTGGACTCCAACTCCCACAATTCCCAACAGCTGCTAGGCTGTTAGGAATTGTGGGAGTTGAAGTCCAAACCACCTGGAGGGCTGAAATTTGCCCATGCCTTCTCTATCTGTAGCATTAATGAAAAAAATGCCTTTCCTGAGGGAAAAGAGGCCTTTTCTGAGGAAAAAATCTGCTTTCTGTGGCCTTTTTTGAGGGAAAAGCAGAATCTTCTTGTAGGGGCAACGAAACCAGAATATTTCCCAAAAAGGCAGACACCCCCTTTCTAATAGGGAGGGCAAGGATGGACACCACAAAAGTTGAATCTTTTAAACTGCAAAAAACTATTTATTATGGCGTGGCCATAGCAATAACGACAAACAAGCATACAGGGATGCAATCAAAGGGTTTGTCGCAACCCCCAATGGGCTGCAGAGCATTTATAGTACATGGAATATATTTACTCCATTTGTATACCGCATTTATCAGCCTGGAGCGGCGACTCAATGCGGTTAATATACATTTTCATTGGTTCCCAAAGACAAATCATTTCATTGGTCTAAGCTAGCTATGCATTTTTCATTAATTGTTTATGATTTTGATTGACATTATAGCACACGAGGGATCCTAACAATGGCACAACTATAACATAACTATGGTCCATTGTTCTCTGACCATGGCTGTATCTTATCTGTTAGTCTGTTGCAAACATGGCTTCAGAGCGACTGGGAAACTTGGGGGTTCTAACTAGCCAACAGCTAGCTGGTTTTGTCCGGATATACTATTATCCTTGAATAGTAACTTCTACTTTGGAGCTCTGATTTCTCAAACAATCAGCATTTTCTGGGAACATAGGCCTACTGCAGAAATGGGCCAATATGGCAGTAAATCATGACATATGGGCATTTGAGAAATATCTGAACATTCCCTTTAAAAAACCACATCCCCTCCATTCTGAGGGAAAACAACCCTCCTGTAGCCTTTCTGAGGGAAGAAAAGGCCTTTTCTGAGGGGAAAACCAGCCTCGTTTGGCGTTTTTTGAGGGGGAAATGGCTTTTTCTGAGGGAAAACCAGCCTCGTTTGGCGTTTTTTTTGAGGGGGAAATGTCTTTTTCTGAGGGAAAACCAGCCTCGTTTGGCGTTTTTTGAGGGGGAAATGACTTTTTCTGAGGGAAAACAAGCCTCGTTTGGCGTTTTTTGAGAGAAAAGGGCTTTTTCTGAGGGAAAACCAGCCTCGTTTGGCGTTTTTTGAGGGGGAAATGTTTTTTTCTGAGGGAAAACCAGCCTCGTTTGGCGTTTTTTGAGGGGAAAATGGCTTTTTCTGAGGAAAAACCAGCCTCGTTTGTCGTTTATTGAGGGGGAAATGGCTTTTTCTGAGGGAAAACCAGCCTCGTTTGGCGTTTTTTGAYAGAAAAMGGCTTTTTCTGAGGGAAAACCAGCCTCGTTTGGCGTTTTGTTGAAGGAAAATAGGTCTTTTCTGATGGGAAGCCACGTAGGCCTCCCTTACCTCCATTCCTCTACGAAGCCACCAAGGAAAGACAGGGAAGAAGGGCTGAGAGGAAAACACAACACAAACAAGCCACTTCCGGCCTCCGAGAAATCAGTGAGTCGTCGCCGCCGCCTGAGAGAGGCAGGAAGTGGGAAGGAGGCAGGGAGAAGAGGGACGCACTTCCCTCAGGCCTCGTTTCCAAGGAAACAGGGTTCTCTTGCATTTCATTGGTGGTTGAGGCAGGCTTGGTCACGTGCAGGGAGCCGGTCATGGGATGCAGAAGACAGAGGGGGAGGATCCTTGGAATTTGCAGCCAATCAGAAGCCGGGAAGGGCCTCCAGGTGTTTGGACTTCAACTCCCAGAAATCTTAGCTAGCTAACCACCTGTTACAGGCATGGACAAACTTGGGCCTTGGAGGTGTTTTGGACTTCAACTCCCACAGTTCCTCACAGCCTCAGGTCCTTTTCTTTTCCCCCTCAGCCGCTTAAGCGGCTGAGGGGGAAAAGGGCCTGAGGCTGTGAGGAATTGTGGGAGTTGAAGTCCAAAACACTTCCAAGGCCCAAGTTTGCCCAGGCCTGTGTTAGGGACTATGGGAATTGAAATCCAAAACAATTGGGAGGCCCTGTTTTGAATTCACTTATATTCAAGACTAGCTTTGGGACCCGGCTGTGCCCGGGTGATTTGAGAAAGATATATTGTTTGTCTGTGCTAAATTTTTAATCTAGATCCAATGTCATCTTGTTTGAGTGGGTATGGGTGAACTATAACTCCCATCATACATGGTCCATCCTCCTCCAAACTGCACCAGGATGTAGAGTGCGCCATGGCGGCTCTGTGTTCCAAGTTTGGTCTTGATTAGTCATTGGATAAGGGTTGCAGTGGTTATGGGAAGTAATTGAAGGTATTTCAAGTCCCATCATCCGTGGTCTGCCCTCCTCCAACCAGCACCAGGATGGAGAGTGGGTCATGGGGGCTCTGTGTGCCAACTTTGGTCTTGATCAGTCATTGGATAAGGGTTGCAGCAGTCTCGGGAAGTGAGTGATGCTATTTCAGATCCCATCATCCATGGTCCATCCTCCTCCAAACTGCACCAGGATGTAGAGTCATGGGGGCTCTGTGTGCCAAGTTGGTCTTTGTTGGGGGCCGCAGTGGTCTGTGGGAACCAAAGGGTTTGAAAGTACTACAAACCCCATCATTCATTCTCTGTCCTCGCCTAAACTTCACCAGAACGTAAAGAGGGTCATGGGTGCTAAGTTTGGTCTTGATCAGTCATTGGATGAGGGTTGCAGCGGTCTCGGGAAGTGAGTCGAGGTACTTCAAGTCCCATCATCCATGGTCAAGCATCCTCCAAACTGTAGTAGGATGTAGAGTGGGTCATGGGGGCTCTGTGTGCCAAGACAAAATGGCACAGCTAGTTAGTAGCCAGCTGCATAAACTCACTACTGACCGAGAGGTCACGAGTTCAAAGCCAGCCCGGGTCAGAGTAAGCTCCCGACCACCAATACTTTAGCTGGCTGTCAACCTATGCAGGCCGAAAGACAGTTGCATCTGTTCAGTAGGAAACTGAGGTACTGCTTTATGCAGGGAGGCTAATTTAACTAATTTACAATACGATAAAACCTTCCAGCAGCGTGCAGAAGAATGAGGAAGTGCTCCATCAAAGGACTCGGCGTCACAAGTGGATGGTGAAGCCGCAGCTCCCTGTGGCCGTAATGGAGCATACCCTCATAGAACTGGAAAAGCTGGCTTCTGTGTCTGTCTATATATGTTGTATGTCTAAATGGCATTGAATGTTTGTCATGTATGTGTGCATTGTAATCCGCCATGAGTCCCATTGCGGGGTGAGAAGGGCAGAATATAAATACTGTAAATAAATAAGAATGATGGTCATGATTCTAGAGTTTGCGGCAAAATGCGCAGTTTCGAGCTCCAAAAAAGAGGTTTCACATTCAGAATCCCATAGAAATGCTCATAGTGTAAGAGTAGAGTATACGTTTGTGGATATTTGGGGCTTTGCCTCTTCAAAAGGGCCCACAGACTTTGAATCGTAGGTCATGTCAATGTTGACTCTTAAATACTGTTCAACAGTAGAAATACCATTTTTCTGATCTGACCAACCAAGTTCCTCATGCAGTTTTCAGGCTGCTGTCAGTATCTCTGAATCTGTGGGTTTATTTCAACTCATAACTCCAACTAAACCTCCAGCGAAACATAGGTTAGTGCCAGAATAATACAAATCTATGAAATATTTCTCTTTTTTAAAATATTTTTTTAATTATCAGAATATAAAATTGACATTTTTTTCCAAAAATGCGACAATATATGGGAAGGGAAAGCCCATGGTGTTTAAAAAGACAGATACATATACTTCACACCTTCATAGAATCATCATTAAGCATATTAGCATTTTGCAGACTCTAATCCAGAATAACTGTCAGAGTTTGGCGGTGCACAGCAGAAGGATTGCTGGATCAGCAGACACTGTGTTGCAAAATAAGGACTCTGCAGTCTTTTAGTTACAAAAGAAACTAAGTTTTACTAAGCACATTCAAAAGACACGTCTTACTACAGCGAGCTACAATCCAGGAACTAGTCAAAACGAAAGTCTCTTCACACCTGCTTATCTCTTCTTGCTGAGACTAGTTACTCCCTTCTGTTCCCAGCAAGAGCAAGCATTATCTTACTTCCCTCAAGGTTACATAATCACAGCCTCACGGAATAAACAATCTGCACAGCATTTCTAATACACAGTGGAATCCATCTTGGAAATACATAGAAGCACATTGAAAACACATACATAACTAAATTAATCCTGACAATAACAACGAATATAACAATAAGCTGCTACCCATTTAGTTCTCAATTTTCTCCTCTTTAAACATTAAACTTAATGGTTCTATTACAATTTAATGCCTCTTCCTGTGAATTAGTTCACTGGCAGGAATGGACCCCCGATTTCAATGCGCACCACCCTGTCGTGGTGTTGCTATGGTGAATATGAGGTTAAAATCCGCATGCGCACATATTTCCATGTTGCTTTGCAAATTACGGCTCAATTGGGCCAGAAACAACTCCTCATTAAAGACATTGCCACATCTTTTTAAAAAGATGATGGGATTTTGTAACCCCGAGGCTTGTATTCTCACAATAACACAATTTTGTGGATCAATCCTCTGGTTCAGATCACCTAAACGGCCTTGGATAACAGCGTAAAACGAGTGTACAATCTGAGTGTATGGTCTCTGGGTTACTGATTTGCGGAAACTGTATGCCACCCCAATATGCAATGAATTACATTTAGGAGATGTAGTACGCCATGACTGCACAGGTTTCACAACCACAGGGGGTGACCCATCATCCTCATTACCTGGAGAGTCTACCTGTTGAGGTTGGCACTCTCCCTCATTAGATGGGGAGTCTACCTGTTGAGGTTGGCACTTTCCCTCATTACCTGGAGAGTCTACCTGTTGAGGATGGCACTTTCCCTCATTACCTGGAGAGTCTACCTGTTGAGGATGGCACTCTCCTTCATTAGATGGGGAGTCTACCTGTTGGGGTTGGCGTTCCCCCTCGGAGGGTTCAGGAGAATGCCCTTCCCTCTCTCTGCTTTCACTGGTAGAATAAGAAGTTGGGTCTGCCACCCTTGAGTACGGAGCCCATTTACGTTTTCGGTTACTTTTGGAAAGGGCAAGAGTTTTCCTCGCCTTGTTGACCACTTTATGTCTCCTCCAGTACAGGCCTCCGGGCGTGGGCTTCTTCCGATCTCCTTTCCCTCTCCTGGACAACCTTCTACTTATCTGAGGCTGGCCAGGGGGTGTGGGCAGCACATACATTTTCCTTCCTTTCATTTCATTATAAAGAGCCGAAAAATTCGCACGCGAAAAGCATTGTTCCACCTTCTTTTTATATTCCTTAAAATGTATATAACGGGTGTGCAATTCCTTCGCCATTCTATGAAGCTCAGCAACGCATTTTGTCAAAAATGTCATATTTTCGTTGATTTGATCAAAGTCTTCCAATTCCGACATGATGTCTCCACTGCGTTGCTTCTTAGAAACTGGTTCAGCTGAATCCAGAGGTTCCAACCTGAAACGTTTGACAGGTGCTTTCATGCCGACCCCTAAACAGAGATAATAAATAAATATACAAATATACATGATTAGCTCTTTCTCATTTGTAAAGAGAGCATCCGGAGGCACATGCGGTTTGCAAAAAATGTTCCCAAAATATCTTCCAATTTGCACTTTCTCCCTTTCTTTATTTTCCTTATTTTCCTACTTGACAGATGCAACTGTCTTTCGGGTTGCAAAGGTCGACAACAGGCTACACACAATTGGTTGGAAACCCACTCCAACCCGGGCTGGCTTCGAACTCATGACCTTTTTGGTCAGAGTGCATCTGTCAAGTAGGAAAATAAGGTACCACCTTAAAGTGTGGGGAGGCTAAATTAACTGATTTATGAGGCCATAAAGAAGACTCCAGCAAAGCATTCCAGCGGGGAAGCATGCGGGGAATGCGGAAGTGCTTCATCAGCGTCGCAGATGGACGATGAAAGCGACAGCTCCCCTGGCGGCCAGAAAATAAAAAAGTTAAATAGCCTCTGTGTATGTCTGTATATGTTTGTATGTCAAAAATTGGCATTGAATGTTTGCCATATATGTGTACACTGTAATCTGCCCTGAGTCCCCTGCGGGGTGAAAAGGGCGGAATATAAAAGCTGTTAATAATAATAATAAATAAATAATTTTCTTTGTCTGGAGATGTGTGTCCAACGGAGTCTTGGGGACCTCGGGTCTGGCAGACAGGGTTCACTTGAGAAATTATAGGGTTTTGGCTATAAACCAAGCATGGGCCAACTGTATTATATCATTATATCTATATAAATTATATCTATATATACCGCTCAATCAGAGAGCTTTGAGATGGTTGAACAGAAGCTCTCCGAAGCTCTAGGTGCTCTTACTGCCTATTACAGGGAAAACCAGCTGATCCCTAATCCATCTAAAACACAGACATGTGCTTTTCATCTCAAGAACAGACAAGCATCCCGAGCTCTGAGGATTATTACCTGGGAAAGAAGGAATCCCACGGGAGCATTGCAGCGCACCCAAATACCTGGGAGTCACTCTGGACCGTGCTCTTACCTACAAGAAGCACTGCCTGAACATCAAGCAAAAAGTGGGCTGCTAGAAACAATATCATACGAAAGCTGACTGGCACAACCTGGGGATCACAACCAGACACAGTGAAGGCATCTGCCCTTGCGCTATGCTACTCTGCTGCTGAGTATGCATGCCCGGTGTGGAACACATCTCACCACACTAAAACAGTGGATGTGGCTCTTAATGAGACATGCCGCATTATCACGGGGTGTCTGCGCCCTACACCACTGGAGAAATTACACTGCTTAGCTGGTATTGCACCACCTGACATCTGCCGGGAAGCAGCAGCCAATAGTGAAAGGACCAAGGCAGAGACATCTCTGGCCCATCCTCTGTTTGTGTATCATAGAATCAAAGAGTTGGAAGAGACCTCATGGGCCATCATCCAGTCCAACCCCATTCTGCCAAGAAGCAGGAATATTGCATTCAAATCACCCCTGACAGATGGCCATCCAGCCTCTGTTTAAAAGCTTCCAAAGAAGGAGCCTCACCACACTCCGGGGCAGAGAGTTCCACTGCTGAACGGCTCTCACAGTCAGGAAGTTCTTCCTCATGTTCAGATGGAATCTCCTCTCTTGTAGTGTGAAGCCATTGTTCCGCGTCCTAGTCTCCAAGGAAGCAGAAAACAAGCTTGCTCCCTCCTCCCTGTGGCTTCCTCTCACATATTTATACATGTCTATCATATCTCCTCTCAGCCTTCTCTTCTTCAGGCTAAACATGCCCAGTTCCCTAAGCCGCTCCTCATAGGGCTTGTTCTCCAGACCCTTGATCATTTTAGTCGCCCTCCTCTGGACACATTCCAGCTTGTCAATATCTCTCTTGAATTGTGGTGCCCAGAATTGGACACAATATTCCAGATGTGGTCTAACCAGCACGCCAACGACTTAAATCAAGAAATAGTTTTCTAAGATCTACTGAGACACTCGCTGGAACACCTCAGCAAGCAAGAGTCCAAAAGTGGCAGGCTCAAACCCAGACCCTCAGTCAGTGGCTGATACCAAATGAGAGACTCCCCCCTGCGCACAAAGAAAACTGGGCGGCTTGGAAGGCACTGAACAGACTGCGTTCTGGCACCACGAGATGCAGAGCCAATCTTAAGAAATGAGGCTACAAAGTGGAATCCACGACATGCGAGTGCGGAGAAGAGCAAACCACAGACCACCTGCTGCAATGCAACCTGAGCCCTGCCACATGCACCATGGAGGACCTTCTTGCGGCAACACTAGAGGCACTCCAAGTGGCCAGATACTGCTCAAAGGACATTTAATCAACTACCAAGTTTGCAAATGTTGTGTTTTGTCTGTTTGTTTGTTAAAGGAGCTGGGCATGTTTAGCCTGAAGAAGAGAAGGCTGAGAGGAGATATGATGAGGGCCATGTATAAATATGTGAGAGGAAGCCACAGGGAGGAGGGAGTAAGCTTGTTTTCTGCTTCCCTGGAGACTAGGACGCGAAACAATGGCTTCAAACTACAAGAAAGGAGATTCCATCTGAACATTAGGAAGAACTTCCTGACTGTGAGAGCCGTTCAGCAGTGGAACTCTCTGCCCCGGAGTGTGGTGGAGGCTCCTTCCTTGGAAGCTTTTAAGCAGAGGCTGGATGGCCATTTGTCAGGGGTGATTTGAATGCAATATTCCTGCTTCTTGGCAGGGGGTTGGACTGGATGGCCCATGAGGTCTCTTCCAACTCTTTGATTCTATGATTCTAAATGCAATACAACTGTTTGGTTGCTCCTGACACAATAAATAAATATCTGTAAAGAGAGCATCCGGAGGCACATGTGGTTTGCCAAAATGTTCCCAGAATGTCTTCTAATTTGGCCTTTCCCCCCCTTCTTTGTCTGGAGATGTGTGTCCCACGGAGTCTTGGGGATCTCGGGTCTGGCAGAGAGGGTTCACTTGAGAGATTATAGGGTTTTGGCCATAAACCAAGCATGGACCAACTGCATTATAGTATTATATCTATATAAATAAAAATGTAATGTTCGTTTGTGGGATTAACATAACTCAGAAACCACTGGTCGAATTGACACCAAAAATTTGGACATAATACACCTAACAGTCCAACGAGTGTCCATCACAACCCCCCCCCCAAGCAGAACAGACTTAAAACCCCCCAAAATACACCATATATACATGCACTCTTCCTACACACATTCATACACACACGTATATATATGCACAACCACACACAAATATGCACATGCACACACATATACACATGCACACACATATACATACATTCATACACAAACATGTATATATACGCGCAAGCACACACAAATATACACATGTTCACACACATAATATACTTAGATATATACATATACACATGCACACACAAATATACATTTATACACATAAACATACATACATATATACACACAAATACGCATATAGACCAGCACACACATATACCCAATATCCATATACACATATAAACACATCAATACACAAATACACACATAAACACATATATACACAACGAAACATATATACATAGACTGGGCCACAGCAACATGTGGCAGGGGACTGCTAGTATCTATATAAATAAAAATGTAATGTTCGTTTGTGGGATTAACATAACTCAAAAACCACTGGACAAATTGCCGCCAAATTTGGCCACAAGATACCTACTAACCCAAGGAGTGACCATCACTAAAAAAAAAAATGAGTTTGTCATTTGGGAGTTGTAGTTGCTGGGATTCATCTACAATCAAAGAGCATTCTGAACTCCACCAACAATGGAATTGAACCAAATGTGGCACACAGAACTCCCCTGACCAAAAGAAAATACTGGAAGGCTTTGGTGGGCATTGGCCTTGAGTTTGGGAGTTGTAGTTCGCCTACATCCAGAGAGCAGTGTGGACTCAAACAATGATGGACCTGAACCAAACTTGGTACAAACATTCCATATGCCCAACTAGGAGCTTGGGGGAAATAGACCTTGATATTTGGGAGTTGTAGTTACTGGGATTTATAGTTCACCTACAATCGAAGAGCATTCCAAACCCCACAAACAATAGAATTGGGTCAAACTACCCACACAGAACCCCCATGACCAATAGAAAATACATAAGGCCATCCAGTCCAACACCCTTCACCAGGGCAAGAAAACATAATGAAATAATGTTTACCCACAAGCATAATAAAATTACATATATTACAAACCCACACCTTCTCATTACTTTATTTTCCAGATCACCAGACAGGGCCACAGCAACGCGTGGCAGGGGATGGCTTTTATACACACACACACGTATGTGTGTGTGTCTACTAGCTGTATCCGCTACGCGTTGGTGTGGCCAACCTTCCCTTCCTCTTTTTTCTCCTTCTTTCTTTCTTTCCCTCCTTCCTTCCTTTTTTCCTTTCCTTCTCTACCTCTTTGTCCTTCACCTCCCTTTTTCTTCCTCTCATTTTTTCCTTCTCTACCCCTTCCTTCGCTCCCTTTTCCCCCTTCCTTCCTTTGCTCTTTGCTTCCATCCTTCCTTCTCTCTTTCCTTATTTGCTTCTCTTCCTCTCCTTCTTTCCTTCCCTGGCAGTGGGTTGAGGTTCCACCCCTTGCTGGACCCAGCATTGTGCAACACTTGCACATAACCACGTATATACAGAAATATAGACACACACACAAGACACATATACGCTGACTGGGCCACAGCAACGTGTGGCAGGGGACAGCTAGCATTATTTATTTATTTATTTATTTATTTATTTATTTACAGTATTTATATTCCGCCCTTCTCACCCCGCAGGGGACTCAGGGCGGATTACAATGTACACATATATGGCAAACATTCAATTCCAAGACACACAACATAGAAAAGACAGTCAGAGGCTATTTAACTTTTTCTGGCCGCCAGGGGAGCTGTCGTTTTCATTGTCCATCTGCGACACTGATGAAGTACTTCCGCATTCCCCGCATGCTTTTGCTGGAGTGCATTGCTGGAGTCTTTTTATGGCC